TGCACAGGACCTACAATTTCCACACTTTTGCTAGCCCCAGTGGACACGAACACCCTATATGTAATGTAAATGTGTAGGGGGGGTGTACAGTGGGCGGTCATTGAAAATGTGTTCTGATATATGTTCTTCACAGAAAATGAGCCAAGGCCATTGAGTGTGAGTTTGAAAAAATAATTGATCATACAATGTTTCTTTAGATAAATAATGAAAACGGGTCCCACAGACCCGGACACCACACAATGAACCTATATTTTCTGAAGATTCAACTGAAATCACAATCAGGCAAGTGCACAGATAGACCTCAAATGGGGCTTGAGCACATGCCCTTTTGCTCTCCTATTAGAGAAGTGCCCTTTTTTGAATGAACTGTTTTTACAAATCCGTATCATTATCTCACATAAAGCAAAGAAAATGATACACCTGTGTCTAATACACCTTATCTAATGTGTTGCTTTTTATAATTGTGTGCTTTAGTATCTTATGAAATGTGAATTACGTTATACTCATTTGTTGGCGCAGTATCTTAGCCGTACAATATCAGAATCTTCCTATTGCCTGTCATTACTGAACCATTGTTCCTGATGCATTTGGTAAGGTGGTAAGAGAAAAAAGGAGGCAAGAGAGGGGCAGCATCTTTGCAGGCAGTACTGATGTATAGATCAGAGTTGGGCTATATCTGTTAGAAGAATGTACTGAAATATAACTCATATTTCTTCACGTATCATTAATAAACTGTCATGTATCAGTGTTTGAACCAACCCTAGTCATAGGTTTATTTAAATATATACATTGTATATCCCTTCAAACTGTCACACAAGTAGTTATATCAGGCATATATTTATTTAAAAGTAACAACAAATGGCTGATTGCCTTTTTATGAATTTGGGCTCATGGCATGCCCCTCTAACATCCTCTGCACGTGCCTGATAACAACAACAGTGAAGGTCCTGATTTAATATTAAATGTTTTATTAAAGGCTCACTGTAGCACTGCTGCCATCTAGCGGAACATAATATATTATCCACTGGGAAAGAAAAACGTATTTACAGTGTGTATATCTAATCTTTAAATGTAACTCCATGGATGCTGAAAACAGAATGCGTTCAACCCATATTCAATTGGGATATTTTCAACAACACACTATTTAATAAAGAGTAACACATCAGTCAAAAAGAGCTGGTATGTTCTGTGAAGGAGGTATATTTTTTATAATTACCTTATGCCGCAAACATCATATGGACATTTCTATGTACATATAACGTTTACGTGTGCTGGGAATGACTGGCTAAATGTAAACAACCTAGAATAAAAACTGCGAGCTCATTTCTTGAGTAATTAAAAGACAGTTAGAGGCTAATGTGTCGCACTATACTTTGTGATAATATATGTTCACTTGGGTCATGTTTGCCTCATCATATATCAGTTTTCTCTTTCACATGCTTCTTTCAAAGGTTTTTCATGCTCTGTTCTGCAATCTCTCTGCCTGTGCCCCTATCTTATCTTTACAGGCTTGAAGAATTCCAGACACTCATGCAATAGTATGTATGTGTGTGTGTGTGTGTGTGTGTGTGTGTGTGTGTATATATCCGTGTGTGTGTGTATCTCTGTGTGTGTGTATGTCTGTGTGTGTATCTGTGTGTGTGTGTGTGTGTGTGTGTGTGTGTATCTGTGCGTGTGTATGTGTGTGTGTGTGTGTGTGTGTGTGTGTGTGTGTGTGTGTGTGTGTGTGTGTGTGTGTGTGTGTGAATACAAGTTGCTACACGTCTAACAACAAATGACATGTCAAAATAGGTTCCTCTTTCTATCACAGCTCAGTGTGTGACATGCCTTTTTGTAGGGAACAACATTATCATGGTCTGTATTCTTTTATATCAAATGTTTTTTTAACGCTTTTTCCAAGACCAATGCATGTGCCGCTGAGAGTGCAAATATTAGTGAATTTGTGTGTATTGAGCCTACAATGGGTGTGTGCAATGATGCTGTCATGCTCTCACGAGGAAAGCAAAATGAGGGTTCAAATTAAGAGCGGAGGCCCCTTCGTGCTGTGTGAGCAGCAACAGATGTTCACCATAACTCATCACTTGACCTCTGTATTTCTGGCCCTTCTAGAGATTATCTCTTGTAACAGGAAGTAGCCAAATGTCTCCACAGATTAGTTTTGGCATGTGACAATAACATAATGTGTTCCTATAGATTGGCTCTCCTTTGTAGAAAACTAGAATAGTGTTTGAAATTATCTAATTTCTTATTGAAAACTAATTACAAACAATGTTATCCTCATAACACATCATAATAAGGAAAATATAAGCACTATAATCAATTACTTTACATAAATATGAAGGGTCTGTCTTAACAAAGATTTCCACCATAGTACAAGTTCCCTCGTGTAAAATAACCTTTCAGAGGGTAGCAACAGGAAAAGTCTGCGTTTCCGTTCACATAATCAGTTTAATCAAAATGTGTGTTGAGGCCAATAGAAACAAACCGCCACCTTGTTGTATTTTGCAATACTGAATGTCAGATTTCCTTCTCAGTGGGTTTGTTTGCAATGTCTCTCCACTAGAGGGCGGATGGAGAAGCAGCGTCAGAAATACAGTCCAACACCGGAAGTTGGACGTGTTGGCCTTCAAAGTAAAAGCATAACATTGGTTAAGGACGGAGCTCAATATCTAAATTACTTTACTGCCTTGAGAAAATATTGTTTGTTTCAGTGCATATTCTTTAAAGTTACGTGTGTGTGACAAATTGAAAAAATAACCAAAAAATACTATTTACTACTCAACATAGCCTACAATAGACTATGCAGATTTGTTCTTGGTTGTCCTTTTCGTACACATCACTGCACAATGTATAACCAACTTAAATGGCCTTCTTTAAATGTAAGAAGACACACGCATTGACTTCAGCTGATATTTAAATGCATTTATCTTAACTATCCCCCTTATTTAAAGCAGTATTTCGTACCCTACTCACCAAATCATCAAGTTAGACATTCTGTTCAGATTTATTTCTCTGTCCCCTCTGCAAAGAAATTGATTCGCAGAAGAGCGTTCATGTTCAAAGCCCCAACTGACTGGAATACTTTACCTGCTGCTATTAGATCTCTTGCATCATTGGGTATGTTTAAACATGCATTATCATCTCACTTTCAACTGGTCTGTACTTGTTATTAATTAAACTGATATTGATGAAACTGATTTGCTTGACTGTCTCAAATTGTAATGATTGTATGCATTGCTTGAATTGTACTTAACAGACTGTATGTGGTTTGTCTTGTGTGTCATGTTTTGCATTTTGTCTTTTTGTTTATGTATGTCTGTAAGTTGTTGCTATTGTCGGGACCCCCTTGAAAACGAGATGGTGCATCTCAAGGGGTTTATCCCAATCAATAAAAATGTCTATATACATTGCTATATATATTCTTTAAAGTTACGTGTGTGTGACAAATTGAAAAAATAACCAAAAAATACTATTTGATTATTGATTAATGTGCTCATCACTTCACTGTTGCAGTTTGGTTTATTTGCTCTACTTTATATACTGGGTAGCTTAACTTATAATAAAATATGATAATATACTGTATGTGTCAATGTATATGTTGTATTCAACTAAATCTGCTAAATAACTTGTAACTTAATAAGTAAATACATTTAGTGGAGTAAAAAGTAGAAAGTAGCATAATGTGAAAATTATAGAATAAAGTACAAGTAGGCTACATACTCAATAACTAAAAAGTATTAGTTATTGAGTAAATAGTTACATTACATCAATGTTTAGTGGTATGACCATCAAAACACAATAGCCTATTGACAAACGTCATTGCGCAAGTTGGTAGCTACAACAGAGCAACTACAAACAGCCTGATGACTAATAATTGTATTCAATGATAAATCACGGTATGAACGAAACTGATGGATATCATCACACCTTTCACAATGTAATGATTATGTAATATTAATGTATTCTTGTTGCCTACATAACAATATTGTCAATATCCTGACCTGACATCAAAAGCACCCTGGCAACGGTAGCCGAGGAAACAATACAAATGTGATTGAATAGAACCAAAGCATTTGTATCAATAGGCTGCATTTGTAGCATTTTATTTTGGAAAGCATCAACAGGAAGTGGTCTTAATTTGGACGCTGGGGTGGCTTGACGATGGTAAAACGAGCCCGAAGCAAGTCAAGACTTTATGGGATGGGAACAGACGAGTGTGTCCCAGTGTTTTCCAGCTCCTGACAGTGTATTGTGACGGGCAGACACAGGAGGGATCCGCAGAGCTCATGCCGAGCAGCGGGCACACTGCAACCGGCGGGACGGGAGCCCTGCGGGGGTCTGGGGAATGGGAGCGGTGAAGTGAAAAAACGGCCGAGAAGCGGACTGTCTGGGGGAAAGACACCAAAGTAAGTCCACGTAACTTTCTCGGTACAGAAAAGTAATGAAAAAGCAAAATGTTTCATATTTTTCACACGTTTCTTTCCCTGTTTGTCAGAAAGTGGTTTTGTTAACTCTTCGCCTATCATCAGTGTTGCGATAGTTTCGGACACAGAGCTGTGGTCAGATCAGGTTTCACGGTTGCCTCTTGGTTTTAAGAAACCGCCCCTGCATGGTGTCCCACAGTTCTGGACTGACCATATCGTTAACCGCAAATTATTCACACGGAGAAAGAAACGTTACGAAGTGTGCAAACTCTTGCGGTCCGATGCCCACAGTGGTGACATGTGGAGCTGTGATTGACAGCCAAGAGGGACGGGGTAGACGTTAAAGTTGTTATAGTATAAGTACTCATAGTGATAGGCTACTTGTTTTGGGTGTTTTATCCAGAAAGGCTTCAGTGGAGTCCTCCGGGGTTTGCCACGTACAGCTGCAAGAAATTTGATCTGCGGAGGTGCCCATGCAGTGAGAGTACACCGAGTACACCGGCCCGCCTCCTGGTTGAGGTCCCAGGGCAGCGGTGCAGCGTGGTAATGCACACAGGGCAGGACACATCGGTCACAGTTAGTCACACTTTTTATGATGTGGTAGTCTGAAAATCAGCTGGAGACAGACTGTTAAACGGCAACAAGAGGAGTTTAACTAGGGTTTCATGGAAAAGGTCCTTCTGATGGACCTATGAGTTAGTGGGGGTAGGCTACTCAGTAAAAGTAGAAAATACTCAATCTTAAAAAACACTCTGTTACCAGTTAAAGTCCTGCATTTAATTAATGTGTATAGTGCTGCTAGATATCTTAACCTATAACCAATGTTTTTTTACAAGATTTATATGTTGTATTAGCCATAAGCTTAGTATTAAACTACGGCTGTCAGATAAATGTAGTGAGTAAAAAATACAACATTGTCTTCTAAAGTAAAGTGAACACACCACTGGACACATTGGTAGAATAATTATGAATGTTACTTGTTTTTAAGTAGCAATACTGCAATGATAAAAGGTAAAGTATTATTCAAATAGGTATTACTAAGTATAAGTAGCAAACAACTTTATTTTCAAAAGTTAAAACACTAGTTTCAGAAAGACCCTATTTTTGTTATTATATTTTGGATTATTGGATTATTAGTAATACTAATGGATTCATGATGAAATAAATTAAGCTACTTTGTAATACACATAGTTTAATTTATAACAAACTTCTCGCAGGTTTTGTATATGTAAGATCTTAATTCACAGAATGTGTAACTAAAGCCAAAGTAGCATGAAATGGTACATAATACATCCCCAGAGGAAAAACACATAGTCCTTAAAAGTTTTGGCCAATTTATACTACTCTATTAAGTTAGAATACTTCAATATAAAATGTCTTATTGGGTCAAATGGTAGGAACAGATACACCAATGTGTTGTCATAACTGGTACAGGCTTGATTCAGTTGGGGAATATATCCAAAATGACCAAAAAGACATAGGCCTTTTTACACATAACAACAAGTCTGGGCACCTTCTTGCCAAGGATCACTCTACTGGGTAGTTATCTTATTTCAGTACATTACACTGTCTCATTGACAAAAGTGGTCATTCGATTCTGGCCATGCTGTTAGCTACACCTTCAGTGAATCTTTTACCACTTTCTGTAATACTGTCTCTTCTAACTGCTTGGATTTACTCTGATACATTTGATCAGTCTCCTTTCTTGTGAACCTATTTATTCACTGTAACTGTAGGCGTCCCATTGATGCACTCAAGTGTTTTAAATCACTTGAGTGCCATCAGTTTCTTAGACTCACGCTTCCCCCTCAGTGTTGTGCATTCATTTGGCTTAACAGGATTAGCACGGCATCCATTTTTTTCATTTGATAGTTTTAGCCTTAAGATTTCATTTAGGGGTCTCAATAACATGAATAATAGACAACAGGAGGATTTTATAAATTGAAGGATCAGTGCTGTTTGAAAATACAGAAATGTGTTTATTAGGAGAATTAAGTTGATATTTTGAAGATTTACACTGCCATAAATGTGCAGTTTATTACTTCTTTGCACACATTTAGATAAAGAAATTCAAGCTGGCAAAACATCTTGTCAAGACATTAGATAAGTATGTATGAGTAAGTAAAAGTGCTGTATTGTAATGGCTTTTGACACACTAAATGATTTTGTCTCTACACTGACAAATTGGCTAAAAGTCTGCTTGCATTTGCCAGGAAATTATCCTTTTGTAAAGAAAACACACCATGCAAAGTAATCACTGCTGCGGGAAAGAAAATAAATAATAGCAAATGGCCGATGATCCTCTGAGAACAGCAGGATGCCAGGTTATGAGGTGCCAAAAGACCTCTGAAAGTGAGAAGGTGTTGGGGCGTGATATCTCACATGCATTTGCCAATTGTCCACTCAGAGGGTTTGCAGCTCGAACTGCCGTTGCCTTTTGGGTAATTGCAGTAGTTAGAATGTGTATGATTTGAAGGCAGCGGCAGCAGCAGTTTGCTGTTAGCTGACATTTATTGGTGAGAGGTCGAGAGGAACAACTGGTGCAGAGAGTTCACAATCCACGCCGAGGCAACAGATGGAGCAAATGATGCAGGAAAGAGAAGGCGGTCCAGACAAATGTGGCCACAAAACCACACGGAGGTGACGAGCGGCTGAAGACCAGTGTGGTAGACGTAAAGAACGTGTAATCGCTCGGTTTTACTGGCAGTTTCCCATGTTTAGTCTGCATATTGCGTCTGTGGTTTACTAACAAGGCTGATCCCTTTGAAGCCTGTAGTTTGCTTGAGGGGAGACAAAACTTGTAATTGCAGAGAAGGCGGGAAGGACCTTTATTATCCTATTTCACAACAGGCTGCAGCTAATGATGTCATACACAAGAAGAGTTGAGCCGTTTAACTGTAAATTTGAAAAACATGTATCGACACATTATGTTGCGATAAACATCGAGAATTCATTAATCACGGTTTGACCTGTGTCCTTTTACGTGTGGTTTATTCTGTGGGCGGACTATTTCGCTTCTGAAGAGCTCAACCAGAAAAAAAAGATTGTGTTCAGTGAGTGAGAGATTTGTGTACTCAGCTCAATTTGACAGTCATAAAACTTGGCTGCTCGTGTTTGGTCAAAACCTGAAGCTGGAGAGACTCACACATACATGGGAATAAAATGGATTCTTGCCTTTTTAAATCATGACTTTTACACGTTAAAAAGTGAACCCCAAAGCAGTCTCAACCAACTTAGTTTATATTCATATTACAAGTTACAGCATTACAAGTTACACCCTTTATGTAGAATACATCAAAAAATGTTTTACTATCAGTGTTACAAGTAGGGTTGCAAAGGGGCGGAAAGTTTCCGGTATATTTCCGGAAAGTTTCCATGGGAAGTTAAGCTGGGGAATTTTGGAAATATTCGATGCAAAATTAAACAAAAAACATGACATTTCAACAGATTTTTAATATTTTTAAAAGTAGAACAGAACAACTTTTAATTATTTAATTGAACAATTATTTGTTTTATTGAAGAACGAAAATAGGAATGTTGAGTTAAATATTACTCATCTGTGCATGTGATGGAGGAGTGGAGGGGGTGTGGTCTCAATAGAATTGAATGGCATCTGTTTGTTTTAGTCAAGATTATGCTAAAATATACTTTCCCCAACTACATTTAAGTTCCCAATGAAGAGCCAACCTTCAATTTTGAAATGTCCCAGTTTATTCCCATAAATTCCCGTTAATTCCCATGGAAAGTTTCCATCTTTGAAAATTCCCGGAATTTTGCAACCCTAGTTATCAGTAGTTAGTCAGGGGTTCAGGGGTCAACACAAAAGAAACACGACACAGAGGTGATCAGCTCAGACTAAAAGACTTTGAGCCACAGTAATCAGCCTGTATATGTTGACCCACTATGCAGCTATGTAACCTCATCCTCTTACATAAGCCAAGATGAATAACCCTAACCCCTGTTAGATATACCTGATAACAGCCTGAGTACAATCTCACCGCATACCCCAAAATGAGACAGAATGAAAAATAAATGTCAGTTCAAGGATAAGAAAGCATTGTTATTTTACTTTTTACATATGAACAAGTAATTCCCTGGGAGGCTGAATTTGATTATGAGAAAATACTTAAGTTGTGAACAAGTGCTCACAGCATTGCATTATGGGACATATGCTGTAAAACTCTGTGTTGTATCTTTAACTCGCTTTGCTGTGTCATGCCTCGGCCACTGACACATGACTGTTCATTTCTACCTGTTACGTAACTCTTAACCTCTGTCCAATTTTCATGCTTATATCAGCGTTGTGTGTGTGTGTGTGTGTGTGTGTGTGTGTGTGTGTGCATGGGTGTGGGTGTGTGTGTACACGTGACGTTGCTTGAGTTGAACTGGGTAAGCTCTATTCAGCTATTATTTACACATAGAGGGACTACAGCAACAGCAACAACTAAAAAACGGTATTTTTCTCTGGTTTTAAATAAAAAATATGTGTTGAATTTTATTAATTCACTTATCGTTATTTGTACACATTTAATTTACTTCTCTTCTTTATGTATTTTAAATAAATCTTACAAATTATTGATGCATATTTTTCAATAGGCTTTGTTACCTTTTTTTCATTTTGAGGCTTTCTGTATGCTTTTTTTTTTCAAATGCAGGGCTTTTATATTTATTTCACTAATCATATATTTGTGCTTTTAACTGCACTATGCATTTTTTATTAATCTTACACATTATTGATCCATATATTTTGAATGTGCAAGCTTTGTTTTCTTTCTTTTTTGGCTTTCCCGTATGATATTATTTCAGATGCAGGGCTATTATATTTTTGGATTATTTTTTAATTTTTTGTATAAATGCTCTGAGGTTTAGAGAATGTGCTCATAAAGTGAGCAAAACAAATGTTTCCTAATTTTAAGATAGAACAGTGATTCTATATCTTAAGGGCTTTGATTTACAACCATGCATACTCATTCCAGTGAGTAAACTTAGAAAGTGCAAATGAACTCCTTGATCAAATAAATTAGGTCACGCCCGTTGGGAAGCCAAGAAGGAGGGGAATCGGGGCTACTCAAGTAGCCGGGATAAAAGCTCAAAGTCTTATCACAAAGATTAACAAATACCTAGGAGATGGCATTTGAGCAGGAACAGCTCTTATTCTGAAACCACCAACAAGGTGTTCTGGGAGAGTTTGGACAAGGCGTACTGATCTAATCTGCTGATTGGGGTTTTTTCTCAGATGGTGATCGCAGCTTGGAAGCAAATTTGAACATGATAAAGACTAGGGCTGCTCAATGAATCAAACTTTTATCAAAATTGTAATATGGTCTAGCACATTTTCCAAATTGTGGAAGCTCAATATTGTTAAAGGCTAAAATTGTGGTGCTTGCAAAGATATCCGAGCCAACTAGTGTTCTACAAAGTAAACAAAACATTTGTCTCATACAGATACTCTTAAGAAGATCACACCATAATCATTTTTAATATATTTTAATGATGATAGGAATAAGGATGCAAAACCAATCAATCCCTCTAAATCGCAATATCAGTCAAAATGAGTTATTTTTTCCAAATCATTCAGCCCCAACAACTACAAAACCTCTCTAACTGACATGTTAAAAAGTTATGTAAATATTTATGTTTTCCAGAGCATAATGGCACTCCTCCTTTGCATTGGCCTGTCGCTACTGGCCTCTGTCCAGTCCAGCAACGTCAAGAACTGCCACCACGGCTGCCACTGTGAGGTGGAAAGCTTCGGCCTGTTCGACAGCTTTAGCCTGACCAGGGTGGACTGTCGGGGGCTGGGACCCGGGACCACCATGCCTATCCCCATCCCACTGGACACCTCCCACCTGGACCTGTCCTCCAACACCATGGGCCCACTCACCGACACCATGTTGTCCGGTCCAGGCTACACCACCCTCGTTAGCTTGGACCTCAGCAGCAACCTTATAACAACGGTCAGTGTTTAAAGGAGCTCTAGTACATCATGAGGTTATGTTTCCTTTGACTTTAACGACACATTTGTATTTATAAAAATTGTCATTTATAATCAATAAAATGTGGGCTTTTTGAGCTACAGTGTGGTATATTTGGACACAGCTTCTAGCAAATGCTAGCAAGTGTTAGCTAACTTTAGATATATAAGATATATATTTATTGTTGTGGTGGTTCACTCTTACCTCTCATTTACAGTGGTTTTTAGCTGCATCAGTTTTCAGGGAAACAGTGTTAAACCTTACTTAATATAACTCCCAAGCACCCAATGGTAGAGAGAGACATAGTAAGCAGCTCAACAGTGAAGGTCTTAGCAGCAATTAAGCCAGATATGGGTAGTGGAGTAAAAAAAGTGTAAAAAGAATGATTACGGATTCATATTTTGGGATTTTTTAATACATTTGTGTGTATTGTGTCCCGCATAGACTTGCCTATCTACACAGCACTGAAAAAAGTTGAACAAGTTATTTCAATGTATCTTCACATCTGAAAAATGTACCTGGCCAATGTTTTACGGTTTCTTTTCTCTTTCTCTCTATCTTGCCTTCACATTTTCAGATAACAGCCAATGTTCTGTCCAAGCTGCGTTACCTGGAGACTCTGGATCTGAGCCACAACAACCTGCAGAGCCTCTCTCTCGGCTGTTTCTCCTGCCTCCCATTGGCTGAAGTTGACCTCAGCCACAACAGCTTCCAAGAGTTTGACATGGACGTGTTCGCCACCAAAGTAAATGGTGAGCCTGTCAGCGTGGATCTGTCTCACAACAGGCTTGTGTCAGTCTCCACGACTTTGCGTGGGAGAGAGCTGCACATTCAAACCTTGAATCTGTCAGCAAACCGGCTGCTGAGCGTACCGGCGCTGGCAGGACTTCCGCTGAGGTACCTCAATCTGGATGGTAACCCCATCACACAGATCAAGGAGGGAGCTTTTGCTCATTTGAAAAATCTAGTTTATTTATCCATCAGTGGCCTCCAGGACCTTCACGAGATCATGCCAAACAGCTTCACGGGCCTCCTAAGCCTGCAAGTACTGGATCTCTCAAACAACCCCAAGCTCAAGACTTTAAGCCCCGCAGTTTTCAGCGGACTGGACTCCCTGCTGGAGCTGAATTTATCTGGCTCTGCTGTGGCGTCCTTGCCAAATAACATGCTGACACACCTGCCCAGCATTAAGAGTATCACATTAGGGCGGAGCATCCAATGCTGGAGGACACAGAAACAGGGACAGTTCCACCGGCAGCTGGGACAGGTCCAACACAACGAGGTGCTCAGCTGTAATGTGGAGGGCGTCGTGTTGTAGGAACAGTGCCTGTGGAAATTGACCAATCCTTAAAGGGGCCAGTATAGTCCATCAGAAGTGCTTGCCAAGTGGTCGAATAGCTTCAGAAACTCCCCTCACACCAACAGCTTTCTGACGTTGGATATAACCATTAACACTTTAGATTTCTAGCATGGTTGGACAACACGTCGTACAACCACCTTCTGAGAGTATAACCACGCCAGTACAATCCTAAAGCGAGAGCCGTGCCTTATCTGCTCTGATATACAAAACACTTTTTTGTTACTTTCACTTAATTACCTCTGTTCCAAGGTGAGCTTTTGGAATATGTCTTAAAGGTTTAAAGTAGCATACACAAACTCTTGACAGAAGTATAAAAAATGCTGTACCTTTCAGAAAAAACTACTTAAAACTGATCTGTTTCTTTCAACCTTTACATTTAGCCTGAACTGGTAGATACTTTTTAATAAATCCAACTTTTTGCGTAATGTTCATACTGTTTGTTATGTACTTCATTTAAAGTGGGACCATATTAAGAGCTTTTTGCACTCAAACCAGTTGTGATGTTTTCTTAAAATGCACATACATGCAGTGTAATACAAAACCTTCTGTGCTTTGCTCATCATATCCACACTGATTTTTCAACTCTTGACCACTAAGATCATTTTATTTGACTTTGAATGTGATGCTTTATTGAAATGTTTAAAGGGATAGTTAGATATTTTGGGAAATGTGCTGATTTGTTTAATAGCCGAGCGCTAGATGAGAAGATTCTGATATTAGTTGGTCCAATATGAAGCAATATAGCCAACAACATGCTAGCTTAGCACAACGCCTGGAAACAGAGGGAAACAGCTAGCCTGGCTCTGTCCAAAGAACTTCTTGAGCTCACTAAATAACTTGTTTGTTAAATCAATACGAAAAACTAAATGTGAAAACAATGGCTGCGGTTGTACGAAGGTACTATTTATTGGACTTGCAGTGACTTCCTGTAGTCTTTTGGAATTCCCCATTGAACTGCAACATGTTTTCTTTATATTTCAGTTCTTAACAGATCAAAGACATTTAATTTAACCTGTTTATTTAATAAATGTTGTAATTTTTAGACGTAACCACATAAGCTGTTCTCCCCTGTTTCCATTCTTAATGCTAAACTTAGCTTCTGGCTGTGGCTTTATACTTAACACACATACATGGAATTGTTGTGAATCTTCAGATCTAACTCTAATCAAGAGAGCTAATGTGCATATTATACATTATTGTATTATATATATGTCCCAAAAATGTCAATCTGTACAATCCAAGTACCATAGTTCTTTATTAAGCTCGGTCTGGGTGGGAAACTTACACTATCTTCTGTAAGTGATGAGGGCAAAGATCTTTTCTTGTTACGACCATTTCATTACTTGAATCTGCCCTCCTGTCCTTTATGTTTGGAAAACTTACCTTCATAAGGACTCTTAAGTTTGGTGGCCTTTAGAAATTAGGCCTGTGCAACCTTTGACTCACTGTTCTGTTTGTCTTACACGTTACACAACGGCAGCGAACAGGCCGTGACCATGTTGACCGGCAGTTTATTTTGACCTGCTGGCAAATCATTCTCCAGTGGAACAAAACGCGTGTTTGCAAACTAATTTGACCAATGAAGTAAATCAACGTTCTCTCAATAAGTAATGGTAAAACACCAAGCTGCACCTTGCTGTTACGTAACTTCACCTTAGCATTCCTGTGGTTTTTCTGTGGACATAAGATGACGAACAGCCTCAAGACTGCATATTAGGGGTTTTGAATGTCAGCAATCTGTGAAAAGCTTGGGGCTTTAGTGTTTTGGTTTTAAAGGACATCCACCTTTTCAGTTGGTTAAATGAAAGTCAGAAGAGCCCAGTCTTGGTGTAGAAGTTTATATTTATATGTATGTAACTATGTTGTATATAACTTTATATATAAATGAATCTTGTGTGTAATAAATTGACTCTTCTCACACTTTAAATGACTGCGGTTTGTTCTGTGTGATGTAATAACCTCAACTATTCTTTGGTGCCTAAGGGAAGGAGCACAAACTCGTCGCAAAACAAGACAACTCACATGTCAGCGTCAACATTTTATTTAATATTTGTGGTGTTATTGTATATGTGTGTGTGTTAGCCAATAGGAGTGAAGCCTTACGGGCACGGTTCATTGTCGGTCTTTTCATCTGTAAACTCCCTCAACAGGCCGCTCGCTCTCTTTTCTTGATCGCCCTCTCACGGGTGAACAGTTCAATGTCCCGCTTCATTGTAGGAATTCTGCCATGTCTCTACCACTTTAGTTTGACCATCTCTGTTACTAAGTTATGGAATACTAAATAAATAAGTAATTGCATACCTTACCGTTACTGCGCTCATAAAGAATGATAAGAATAATGCGTCTTGAACTGGTTTCATTAATTAGTGTCTTTACGTTTCACAGACTATTAGCTTGGCTGGTAGCCTATTTTATTAAAGAGCATATAAAAAGAAAGACTTGTGTTATGTCTTCCTTAATGCAATAGTAATTGGGGGTGCAAGTGGAGTCTCGCAGAGGCAAAACTGTGACGCGCTTGCACTGTAGGTGCGCCGCAGTCTGCGTGATCTGGGAGGGGCGGGCCAGCCCTGCGAGTAAAGCAACGAGTAAAGTAACAAATTACTTTGTAGCCTAGAGAGTAATGAAGTAGTGTAATATATTACTTTTTTTTTTAGTAACGACCCCATCTCTAAACCTGAGTTATTAATCTTGCAGCACTTTCGCAACATGCTGTGGGTTTTGCTTTAGTTAGGCCTACTTGAAACTGTCACGTTACAAAGACACATAAACACACTTGTGGTTGTGAACAGACCACCAAGGAGGTGACTGGGTAGCAGACGAGTAGAGAAAGGAGAGAGAACCGGGTTCCAGTCATGGCGGCTTACAGATCTCCTGTGTGCGTCTGGCAATGAGTGTTTTGTCCTGTGAGACAGAGAAGACATTATGCCCTTCTTTCTGTGACACATCTTTGAAACTCCAAGACGCCCAGAAACAGATACAAATAAGGCTGAGTAAACCATTGCACCATAGTTGTACTCAGTGGCGGCCGGCCCATAGGGGCGCTAGGGGCGCCGCCCCACCTCTTCCCACATACAAAACAAAATATTAAAAAAAATATTAAATAAAAAAAAAATATTTAAAAAAAAAAAAAAAATTTTATATTTTTATTTTTAATGAACAAGGTAAATATCATACAATTGGTATCAGTAAAATGTATAATCTACAATAAAATCTCGTTTAAAATTGTGTTACGATGTCTAAAGTTACTGATAAGTCACATGTTTCCTGCCTGGCCTTGCCCGTGGCATTAGTTTATCATTACCGGGCGCCGTGCAAGGAGCCCCCGAGCCAAACAGCAGCAACCAGCACGTTGCAAAAGTCTAAATAGTAAACTGTGCCGCCGAAACATAATTTCAGCCAATCAGCCCCGTCAAATATTTTGGTCACGAGGGCGCTCACGTTGGTGCCCACGTTGGCGCCCACGTTGCTTACGTGCGTTGACGTGAGTTGTTTTTTAGACTCGTGAGTGACCAAGGTGACGCAGTAGTTGGATGAGAATGGCTTCGTGTGCAGGTGGAGTCGCCGGACCTCGGTCCCCGCCCAATTCCGTTCAAGAGCTAATCTCCAATCCTTTCGAAAGGAGAAGTTTGGGAGATAAACTGTTGCTTAAAGACCTTGGACCGGACCAACCCGATTTGTATATATCGCAGCAAGCTCGTGAAAAAGACAAAACGTATCAAGGAGGCTTCTCACGTAGCTGGTACACCAGAAAGGCATGGCTAGCTGGATGCAAACAGGTAAATGCTGTCTTTTGTTTCCCATGCTTGCTCTTCAAACAGCCGGGGACAGATACGATCTGTTCATAAACTAGACAAAAGTTACAACAAGTACAAACCACAGACTGTCTGTGTCATGGAGAATACAGTCGCTGGTTTATTTATGTCTGTATAGGCCGTTGTTGTGAGTGTGGACGGTCGGAGCATATATAACGTTAGCTTAGCCAAGCTCCATTTAGAAACCACGCATTTTAAAAGGGTTTTTCGCCTGCCGTCTGTCTGCAGACTTGGCAAAGCATTAATTCATGATTTTTACTAACCGGTATCAGTATGTTGTTAATTCGGTATCATTTTGAAATGTGTATTACAATTAAATCACGGTAAAATATGTTCATCTTGTTGTAGTTGTAGCCCCCTTGCCAGCGATTCTCTCTCTAGTTTAGCATACTCAGCCCGACTCAGCCTGGTTGTTCCTGGCCCTAGAACCACGATTTTATGGGGCCATAAAAACTGTGAATTAGGACCCGCTAGCCGGTACTAGGCCAAGTGGAAACGCAACCAAAAACGGGCCCCGCACGGCTCGGCACTGTCTGTGTCATGGCGAATACAGTCGCTGGTTTATTTATGTCTGTAGGCCGTTGTTATGAATGTGGAGTGAGCATATACAACGTTAGCTTAGCCTGGTCGACCCAATCTCCATTCGGAAAACAAGCATTCTAAAAGGTTTTTCGCCTGCCGTCTGTCTGCAGACTTGTCAAAGCATTAATTCATGGTTTTTACTAACTGGTATCAGTATGTTGTTACGTCGGCATCATTTAGAAACGTGTATTACAATTTAATCACGGTAAAATATGTTCATGTTGTTGTAGTTGTAGCTCCCGAGCGCGTCTTGTTTGAATGATGCGAGTAAACACAGCTGGCAGCCGCGGTGAAACTCGAGCGACTAGAGCGATGCGATAGGAGCGTTTAGAGCGAAGCGAATATTCGCATCGCGTCAGGTCTGAACGCAGCATTAAAGCGAGCTCCGCGCTGCACTGGAAACGCGCCATTACATCACCAGAAGTCCTAATTTAAGGGGTCATTTCTCCCAAAACATTTTTTTTTACTCACTATATCAACAGCCTCACCAAAAATATTTTCCACCAGCCGCCACTGGTTACTAGGAGGCTGCAGGAGAACCCTTAGTGGATTGACCCCATTGTGGAAATCACTTCAAAATGTTTGTGCTTTTTTTCAACTCCTGAAGCAATAGCATGTTGACATCCGAGTAACCAATCCTCCATCCAAGTAAGCTCTGACATAGAAGCACATAACTACACTGTGAAAAGACATTCAGGGAATGCAACAGCACAACAAATCAGTTTGTAGATCAAAAGGGGGAGAAAATTCATGTTTGACATTTCAGTGGAGAAGAACTTCAGAAAATCCAGTCTCATGTCTATTTTCTTCCCAGTTTCTTCCTTGAAATGTGCCTCATACAGTCTGGGACATACATAGAAGTGTTTAAATGATACATTAAAGGATAGATGGCTAACAAATAGTATATGTCCATGTGTCTGTCTACTGCTCTGTTTTGAGAACATTTATAAAAACATGATTTCCTCCTCTAAAAGATGTTGTTACAACTGTCGCCTTCCTGGTCGGCTTAACTGTGTTAATCTGTGTTGTATGTAAATGAGCTGTGCGGTTGCCCTGACGTGATTGGCTGCCATCTCCTGGTCCGCCTCCTGAAGATTGTGATTGGAGCACGCCGGGCCCAACGCACTCCAATCGCAGCGCACCGCCGGCGCGCACCACCGGCGCGCACCTGCTGGAGATGACTACAAAACCTGGGGACAATTATCACTCTGGAGGCTCTGTTGGGTGAACAGAGCCTCTCGCTACTTGCTCTTCGTTCATGTATAAATCTGTTAGCTGTGGTTAACTTGCGTGGTCTGTGTTTGGTAGTGTTGATATGATTAGATGTGACTAGAGTATCTTAGCCTCTACGTTGACTGTATTACTTAGCTTAGCTGTGTTTTCTTACAGCCTCCTTTTCTTTAGTTTGTACCACTGCCATAGTGAGCGTTATTTTGTTTAGTTATGTATATACCTTTGTATTTAAGTAGGATCACTTATTAGAGTCCTCCCTTTGGTTGGTTGCCCATTTAAACTTGCGCCCTTGTGGCCACTTTTGTTTGTTATTTAAACCGGTGTTTTTTTGGCCTTTTGTTTGTCCCAGGCTGCTTGCCTGCCATTTTATTCTACCTGTCATACATTAAAACCATTTATAATTATTACCAATTCCAACTGGTGTGTGTTGCATTTCCTCATCCCTAGTGGGGACGTAACGATGTGTAACAGCTAACAGAGGTAAACATGTTGTTTTGCAGAGCTGGAATCAATAGAGATGTTGACATAAGTTCTGACATTTCTGTTTGACACTGAAAATCAAACTTAGCAGTGCCATTTAATTGGAATGTGCTTCTCTGTTGAATCTACCATGACAGAAAGTTAGTTTTCCATGAAAGTGAAAAACAAATACATCCACAGAGCATTGACAACATAGACACGTTGTATTTTATCTGACATCTTGCTTTCGTCATCGCATACAGTACAGTCTTAGGGAGAGGGGCAGTTATCAGGAGAACAAGAGACCCTTTTCAGGTGGATAAAGTTGACGCTAAGTCAATAGAGACTTTGAATCAGTGAGCCAAGTTTTCAGTTAGCTGACGTCTGTAAATGAACAGTTTGCATGTACATTTCCAGTAAACAAACAGCGGTTCATGCATGCAAGTTTGCCCAACAAGATTTATATGTTTTGCTACAGCTACTGAACAAAAATAGACTTCAACTTTCTTATTTTAGTTTTTCAAAGAAACCTCCAGCGTAAAGATTTTAAACTTCATAATTAATTTCAATTTCCAAGACAAACTTGTCTTGACTGTGCTGTTTACATTATAAAAGTGTGGGGCATTTCGGTGAATAAATCAAAAGGTATCACGCGCTTTCTGCAGGAGTCTGGCTAGGAGATGTAGTTACTTCAAAGCAGAGGGAAGCTTTGAACTGTGTATAATTAATTCAGGCAAGCAGAACCAGGGTGTCTTTATTAAGTGCTCTGTTCTTGCTTGAACAACTATCAAACAAATGTAATTTGACCTTCCCCGGATAGATCCTCTGGAGGATCAGGCTA